CACACACACACACACACACACACACACACACACACACACACACACACACACACACACAGACCATCATAATGAGATTTAACTTGTTTTCCCAACTCTTGTCCAACGCGCAGCATCGTGGTGTCGTGGTCGGAAATAAAGAAAAGATACATTCAGTAATCTGCTGTACAACGATCCAATAATTTTCTTCTCTTATTTTTACCTAAAAATATTTCTCCCACATCCATTTTTAGCCATATATCTGACCACATCTTTTAGAAAATTACACTGAGGACGTCTTTATACAGAATAAGGGTGAAGGGGAATCACACACAAAAAATAAGATGAATTCAAATAAAGTACAAAAAATAAAAAGAATAGAAATAGCTCGTGAAAAGGCAGATGGCAGGCCTTGACGCTTTCCCTTTTGTCTTCGGTTTTTCCAAACGCTGCCATGGCAACAGATTGATGGTTGGCAAAGACAGGAAGTCGGGGAGGAGAAAGGAAGATGTCACGTCATCAGCTGCCGTCTAGATGAGGTTCTGTGAAGAAAACGCGACACAGAGAGAAACGAGATGAGTTTACATCCAGATTACACGTCCTTTAAAAAATCAACACTGATTTATTGTTTTAATATGGATTTTTGTTTCAACCTTTTCCTGATAAAATTTACAAGATTCGTCTTCTTTGAGGAATCAGATCGGTGTGAAGTGATGACGTGAAATAAACATAAACACCACATTATTGTTTTTTTGACACAAGTTTAACAGCTAACCTTATAAATGTGTCTCGTATCTCAGAGCTTTTATTTTTTATGAAAAAGGTGCAAAAATTTACTGCTGAATGACGAAAAACTACAGAAATTGCTGTTTGGTTGCTGAATTACCTCAACAGTTTTCTAAAATCGCTGTTAGAAATATATTGTTAGTTTCTCATATTGCCTCAGGGGTCCCTTTGACCCACACATATTCATTCAAACTATTCATGATATCATCCTACATGGTAGACACGTTTGGGTGAGGAAATAAAGAAATAATAACAACAACAACAACAACAACAACAACAACAACAATAATAATAATAAAAGAAAAACACTTTTATTTCACAGAAACCTGCCATGAAGAAGAAAAAATATGTAATTTTCTGGGCCAGCCCCATAAAAAGCATCTGTATTAATGTTTTCTGGTACAAGGGAGGCTGTTCAGACACAGTGACCCACATCTGGATTTTTCTGCTTTGCTAGTTTCTGATCACTCTTTCTACCTTCCATGATAAATATGAACATCCAGGACTTTCACGAAAAAACTTGCTGATACAATATGTATGTAAACATGTGTAAAACAGAATGAGACATTTAAAATACTGACTTGTGAATAAATTTAAATGCGCTGTAAACATATTGCAGTTTGAAGCCCACTGACTCAGGGTTCTACTGCAGATCCTGCTCACAATCAAAGAGCTCGATCGATGCAGGAGTAAAGTGTCGGAGCGGTTCCAAACCATCCACAGAACCAGCAGAGTCTCCTCAGAATTTAAGTGCAGTATCACAGAGTCCGTGTGCTTAATGCACCGCTCGGATTATTGATTGTAAAGGAAGAAAACATCTCAAACTAACATTAAAGCCTGTGAGGCCAAAACAACTGAAACAGCCTCGTTCATGATTGTTTCTGAAAAGCTCCTGTCCACACGGATCCTCAGAAAACTATTTAAAAGAAATTCTAATTTGGAAAAGCGTTTTCCAAACTTTAATTTGTGTGGACTGGAAATGCAAACCAAGCAGAAAGAAAGCTTTTTAAAAATATTTGAATTAGTGTGGATGAAGACTCTTTTTAGGCATCATACAGAAATGTTTGATTGATTTACTCTGTATCTTTTAAAACACATTTCGCAATTATTGCTCTGCAACAGCAAGCGGACTAATTTTAAATTCCATATTTTATTTTTAATGGTTCCACCGGGGGCTGTAGACCTTTTCCCGGGTGGGTTAGATAACTGCAGTTTGGCCCTCGGCCACAATAAACGCCTGCCATTCACCGTGTCAAACTGCCCTGGGTGTGTTGTTGAATTGACCGTAACGAACACTGCATGCACATCGTTCAGCAGCTCCCACCTGTCCGTTTAGACAGCCCTCATCTCTCCTCTGGCCTGCAGTGGAGGGCCGGGGAAAGACTCTTCCACCCAGAGACCCGTAGCCTGACATCTGGACCTTGGACAGGACGTTCGGCTGCCCGTGCGGGATTACATTCTCATCTGCTCCTGACAAACAGATCACTCAAAGTTACAGCTGTTTTTAAACAGGTCAAACTCACAGGGAGGGGGTGGACTGAGAGTAGACCCCCTGCTACAAGGAGCTCTGCAGTGACAGCAGCTGGATCTGTACAAACCTGAAGAGGTTTATATAACATCCGCAAAAATGTAGAGCCGAAGAAGCTGAAACTGAGCAGATAATCTTAAAAAAAATATATAAAATGATAGCTGCAAGCTACAAAAAGCACAAAACTAACTAAAAGCTAAAAATAGCATATGGCTACCTAAAAGCAAAAAGTACCAGAAGGCCATCAAAAAGCTAAAAGTAGCAAAATAATAGCTATGCTTGCTTAAAGCAGAAAAAAGCAATAGGCTGGGTAAAGGCATCAAAATGATAGCAGAACTTTGGGTTTTAGATTGATAGCTAAATATTAAATGTGTCCAAAAAAACTACCTAAAAATATTTAAAAAAGGCTAGCAAAAATCTCAAAATAGCAAAATGGTAGATATAAGCTAAAGTAAGATAGCTAAAAGCAGCAAAAGGTTACTTAGAAGCTAAAAGTTTCAAAACGCTGGCTAAAAGCCAAAAAAAAGAAATATCTAGCTGAACACTAGAAGCTCCAACAAAATCTAGCAAATTGTACCAAAAGACTAGCTAGAAGCTAAGAGTATCAAAAGGCTAAAAACAAAAGCAGCACAATGCAAGCTAAAGGCCAAAAGTATCAAAATGTTAGCTAGAAGCTAAACGTACCATGGCCATCGGCTAAAAAGTGGAAAAAAAAAACTAAATTAGTTCAAGACAAGTTGTATGCTGAACCATAGAGAACAATGTTTTTGAGTGATATATGAGGAAAAAAATATTTCTGAATAAACTAATTGTTTTGATAATATACAAATAAATAATACAAAACAAAAGTACAAAGTCGGCAGTGGTATTTAGATTGAAAATAGGGAGAACACAGCCACATTATTATACATAAACTGACATCTGATGCACCGGAGTTGTTTCTTTACCTTCTGATAACCACTTTGTCGGCGACCCCCTCTGGGCGGAGAAACCTCCCCTCTTTGGAACGGTGGGCCGATTGCTCCCCTCCTTTGGTTCTCCTTCTGCTGGTTTCCGGCTCAAAACCTCCACAAAGAGCTGCAGGGAGTCGTCATCCGTGGAGGACGGGGGTGCTGGTGGAGGGGGGAGATCTGCATGTGATTCATCAGTGATGATTGAAAAGAAACACAAAGAAATATTCATCTTAAAAGGAATCATCTTGACATTTTGTGTGTGTGTGTGTGTGTGTGTGTGTGTGTGTGTGTGTGTGTGTGTGGGGCGGGGGGTGTGCTTATTCACTTTATTGCTGGGAGACAGATGAATAGATATCAGTCTTGTGTTTGTGTTTTATACATGAAGACGCAGCTTTGCATAAAGACCAGAACCAGTGGGGGACACTTTCTGTAGCTTTGCCCTCGAGCGTGGCTGACTGACTCTAAAGCACCCTGATTACCATCTTACACTGCGTTTGTTGCTTCAGCGGGAAAATTAAAAAAAGCAAAAATAACCATTAGCCAGTTTCTGGATCATTTTGAGCTTTAAATATTTGGTCTTTACAGACAACCTGTGGACACTGAAGGATGGCAGAAACAGAAAATACTTAAAAATGCTCTGCAGCAAAAGCAGTGATCAGCTTTTTGTTCAACATTAATAGAATTATTGTCTGTTAATTAAGGTTTATTCTCTTCACACAGTTCTAAAATACACATTCTGGACAGAAAAACACTGACACTGGGAAAAAAATCTTCAAAGCCAACTATCGTAGCTGTTTGAGTTAAAATTAGTTGGTTAGAAATATATTTCACTTCTCTACATTTAAAGAAACATGAACAACTCCGTCTCAGTTTGTTACCTGCTTCTCCGAGCCTCTCTCTTTTGTTTTGTCCATCTACAGGCGCTCGTTTCTTCCCCCTGGATCTGAGCGCCTGGACTGCAGGACTTGACTCTGCAGCTGCAGCTGGAGAAAAAAAAACAAATAAAATAAAATAATCAAGTCGATGTCATCCTCAGAAAACTTACAGAAAATTCACTTCTGTTGAGGAGTGTCACAAACTAGACAAGAAAAACTGCAATTTCTGTGAAAATCCAACATAAATGCTGAGAATGATTTTAGCTGAAACAGCTGAAACTGAGAGATTAAAGCTAATTTAAGCAGAACACAAACTCAAACGTAAAAGAAGCAAAATCACAGCTGAATGCTAAATGTAGCAATAGGCCACCTAAATGACAAAAGTGAAAGTGGAAAACAGTGGCTATAAACTAAAAGTAAAATGCTAAAGTAGAAAAATAGGTAAAAGCTAAATAGCATAAAGTCCAGCTAAAGGTTGAGCTAGAAGTAACCAAAAGGGATCTAAAAGTATCAAAAAGCTAACTGAAACGACTAAAACACTTGTTAGAAGTTAAACGCACCAAAAGAAAAGCTAAAAGCATAAAAAATGCTAAATGTAGAGAAAGGCTACGTAGAAGATAAAAATAGCAAAATGGTAGCTAAAAGTTAAAATCAGCACAATGATAACTAAAACCTGAAAGTAGCAAATGGCCATCTGAAAGCTAACAGTAGCACATCAGAACAATAAATAAAAGCTAAAGGTAGCTAAGTAACAGATAAAAGTAGCAAAATGATAGCTAAAAGCAGCAAATACCTCAAAGTATCATAAGAAGTCAGAAAATTTTCTTTATGAAATACGTAGATTTCAAAGAACAAATAAAAAATGTTTTGGAGTTGAAGTGATCTGAAGGTTTTTTTCAGAGGAAAATATTTATAAGTTAAGGTTAATATTTAGAAAAGTACAAAAACTACAAAACCCGAAGGCTGAATCACCCAAATCCTGCTAAAGCTAAATGTCTTGATATAGAAATGTCTGAAATACAAATAAAATAAAATAAAATAAATAAATCAATTTAAAAAATGCAGAAGTTGTTAGAATGAAAAAATCAAATAAAACCCTGGATAAATAACAGTGGGAACACCGAATCAGCATTTAGATGATTAAACACGACACGGTTCTGATGTGAGACAACTGACCTTTGCTGAGGCTCTCTCCCCGGAAATTATCTCCCCAGTGGCCGGTGTTGTATAAACCACAGGCATCCAGGGCCTTGGTGTTGGTGAACAGATCGGGGTTGGACTGGGACACCTGGGAGCCCAGGTACTGACGGGCCAGAAGCTCACAGTGCTGAAGACGTGGACTCTCGCTGGACTGGGGCAAGTCTCGCTGCGGGGAAGACAGTTTTGCTGTGAAGGAAAGCTCCTCCAGTTTAGAGGACAGGCTTGAGACCTCCTCTCTGGACGTGTCCATCAGGTAGGTCCTGGCTGGCAGCGGAGGACACCAGTCGTCGTCTTCCTCCTCAGAGCTAAAGGTCAAAGAGTGAGGAAGAATGAGCTCAAGGTTTTACAGGAAAGTCATCATTCTTTAATCTAAAATAATCCAGCACGAATTATTACTGCTGTTCATAAATAACTCGACATAATACTGATTACATCATACTATCATCATATTTTTTGCCTATTTGTAAGATTTAACATTTTCAGAGTCAGCTCCTCCTGCCTTTTTCTCATGAACAACTGAACAGATTTTAATAAAACTTTCAGGAAACAATCTCTGTTACAGTTAACTGACCTTGGAAAATCCCCAAAGTGCTACAACTCAGCTTGAGCTCAAATTTGACGGGGTAGTAGCTGAGAGTCATACTCTGACATCTTGTGTTATCACACGGGATTTGTCCTAATCCAACCTTTTCTTCTGACCAATCAGTTCCTATAACCGATGAGCTCAGCAGATGTTTCCTGCTCTCTGGGACACCTGGCTTGTCCCTTGCACGGATTTTGCTGAAGCGTCGTCCGTCTGAGCGATGAAGCAGAAGCCGTGTCTGACCTTATAGAGGAAGTGCAGAACAATACGTGCAGCCAAAGGAAATAAATGACTCGCCGAAGGCTTGACCTTCAGAATACACACTGTTGTGTTTTTTTTTCTTCTTTTTAGTACTCTGTATTCACCGTGCAAAGTTTCTGCATTAAATGCTGCTATATGAGACATCTGGTGAATCCTGAAACCTTGTTCTGTATAATCTGAGCCGATTTCACATTATGTCCAAAACAATAACTAGCAGGGACGTCCACGTTTACTTGGTGTTTACATGCTGACAATTGATTTTCATAATGTTCACTTGCAAGTTTATGTAAAAAAACAAAATAAAAATAAAAAAATCTGGAAATCTATAGTTAAAAAAAGCCTAGCAGTTCTTCAAAAGAAATGTATATCTCCCACTACTGTTCAAGTCAATGTCTTCAACAAAAATCATATTGTAAAAATGTTTTATTTTATTGTTTTTGATCATATATTAAAAAAATAGGAATATTGTTAGATCTTGAATCAGATCGGCTCCAGAAGTAATTTGCTAGATGTTCACACAATGGGCCTCATGCAAGAACCGTTGGTACGCACAGATTTGTTCTTAAGTTGTGCGTACGAGTGATTTAGGAGAATTTGTGGCATTCACCAATGTTTTCRTATTCTAMGATTTTTTTCAGATACGAACAAAATTBACGAGTGGTCCAGACCTGTCRTATATTTTACGAGCAGTCAGTCTGCTGTTATCCAGACGGGTTTTCCTCCCTAATAACTTTATATTTCGTTAGTTTGAAGACATTTTGAGTTGAAAATAAATCACACTCCATAATTTTGTTGACAATAAATTATTCTGCTTGAATTAGAGTTATAATTTTAAATGTAATAATTTAGACTAACAATTTAAATTGTCTGTCCGGCCGGCTTATGTATCCGGGATCGGGTCGCGGGGGCAGCAGCAGAGAGACCCAGACTTTCCTCTCCCCAGCGACACTTTCCAGCTCGTCCTGGGGGACTCCGAGACATTCCCAGACCAGAGGGGATACATAATCCCTCCAGCGAGTCCTGGGTTTTCTCCAAAGTGCCAGACTTATTTTGAAAACATTTTAAAAGGCTTATTTCAAACCCACATCTGAGACCACCTGCGACCGCGCACCGCGTGCGGGGGGTGGGGGGTGTACGGTGCACAGCGCTGTGTCTTCTGAATAAATGAAAATGATTTAACACAGTTGTTTATGCTTTTAGCAGCTCATTTTATTCCACAGCTGACCTGCTAAAAATGACAGATTTTCTTTTCTGGATCTCTGACAGACGGACTTCAATCTCTGAACTTGTAAAGTTTTTCTTTTTAGTTTTCGCTGTCATTTTCATGAATGGACACTTCCTGATATCTGAGGCAGGAAACATAGCCTTATATGGTGTTTTTGGGGTGGTAATTATGCTGATCTCCTCTCGTGTGCACGAGCAGCTGGATACAAACAGGTCAATTTACGCAGCTCATTTACACACTTTTCCTGAAGACAGAAGAGTTTGTTGAATCTGACGTGACATGTTCGTACGAACCCTTTGTACGAACAAAAGTAAGAGAAATTTAGGATAAGAATAYGAACATGTTCTTGCATGAGGCCCAATGATCATTTCCTGAGAGTTTCATTAAACAGTACGTAAATTACCCTCAGTCCTAAACCTAACCCCTCCCAAAAAATGGCATTCCACCATATTAAGATCAGTCTTTGATTCCCAAAAGAACTACTGGTCCTGTCACTGAAGGTGTTTATATACAAGAAACGGTCCTAGAAAGGTAACAAAAACCAGGTACACACACAGATGCACAGCAAATATTTAAAGAATTAAATGAGGCAAAATGTGCAACCATAATTTCAAAGAAAGCTGTCAAATAGTTTGAATTCAAAGAGATGAACCCAAACCATTAAAACTGTCTATAAAGAAATAATCCGGTGTCTACTGATGTGAAATTAAATAAGTGCAGAGAAAGAAAAGAACAAAAAACATAAATGTGTTTTTTAAAGTTTCTATTTGAAAGGGAACTAGAGTTCCAGAAGACAGGATCCACCTCCGTGATTTCTGTTGTCATTTTCTTGCCATCAGGCCTGATTTAACGAGGAACGTGTCATTGAAAATGGAAAGCAGTAATTCCGCCTGTCAGACAGAGTCTAATGTCATTACAAAAGACACGACGCAGTCAGAAACAGCCTTCCCATCCCACCCCGTTATGTCCGCAATCTGACGTGTCAGAACTCGTTAGAGGAGACGCTCCCCTGCGTAGCCCCGGAGCCCGATCCACTCACTGCCTGTGGAGTCGATGCTGCGTTTACAAAACTCCCCAGACTCTAAACTTCACTTAAGTTTTGCTTGACAGGCCCGGCGGCACTACAGGACCGCCGTGACGTGCAGCTGCCTTAACTCCCGCTGTCAGAGGATTGAAGCCAGAGGCCTCCACGCTAATGATGAGGAGACAGAAGGAAGCTGAGGACAAAAAGAGTCGTATTCCTGGAGACGGAAGAGGAGGGTTTGACCCCCACAATGAAGACTTGGACCCTCCCAAAAGAGGCAAAAACAATTATAACAACTGTGTAAAATGTGTATTAAAACAGAATCTTGGAAAAAAGAGTTTTGGTTCTAGTATTTGTTTGCATCAGATGAAAAAAAGAAGTCAGTGGTCGACTCACCTGTGCTGCGCCTCCTCTTTATCAGCCTTTGCTCGACCTCCGTCTCTGTTGGGAGGAAGAGGCAGAGACAAAACGTCCACCCAGGTGAGAGGAGCTGACTTGGGCGAGGACCCGGGAGACGACTGCTGCGCCAGTTTGTCTGGAAGAAAAAAAAATTGTAATAAACTGTGTCACAAATGTGGTGAGTTCTGGTTGTTCAGCTGTGCTGCCTCTGTGCACCTGCTTCCACTTCATTAATCAGGTTTTGTATTTACACGCCAACATACACACATGTTTACACCGACGAGCCCGCCTTTGACTGTGTTCTCAAATCTATTTTATTTTATTTTTTCCCTTCAGTGTGGTGCCTTCGAGTGCTGTAGAATTAGTAGTACAAAGCAGAATTCCTGTTTAATTATGGAATTTCTGCTCACCCTGACCCTAAAGCAGAAAGGCTGGTTTTGCATGATGAATCTGCTCAAACAAACGCTGCGTTTTAAAACCCATCTCTCTCTCTGGCTGCCTGAAGGACGCTCTCTTTTGTTGACCTTTTTTTTTACTTCAGAACCACCTTGAGTTTCAATAGATGCACAGACTCACTGAGCTCTTCAGAAACCGTTATGGTCATAGTTACGTTATGCTTTTATTCAAATCGCAAACAATTTACCATATTGAACATAAAAGAGGGAGACGTGAAGCACAGGCTTTGTTTTTTACCTCACTTGATTTAGAATGATGATTCGTTCAAGCATTAAAAAAACTGTTTAAGATAATGTTCATATCGGCGTTAGATCTATAAATAAAAAAGATAATGTATACTGACATATATGACAAAAACTATTTGTTCCCATTTCTAAAGTTAAATAAAAAAACTGTAAAATGTAAGAGGCAACAAAGGTTCAGATGCATGAACTGAAGGTTGTGGCTTCCCTCATGTCTCCTGTTTCTCATAAAAACCTGTCACAGATTGTTTTCTAGCCCCGTTGAAGCCTCTTCTGCTTTTCACCTGTTTGTCCGGCGGTTTGCTTAAATTTTTAAAGAACACACCGTGTTGAGATGTGCCAAGGTTGCTGCAAACAGGACTGGACTGAAAGCTGAATAAAAAAAGCAGCCAGTGTCTAAAGACATGAAAAAAAAAAAAAAAAAAAGACTGACAGAACCTCAGAAAATCTTGATAACTTTTGCTCAACCCCTCCACTAAAAAATGAGAAGAAAGTTTGACTCTCTGGAAGCAAAGTATTAATAACTGAGTGGTGACTGGTGAAAGGTTAGAATTAACTGTGTTTTGTGTTTTTATTTTGGAAAATGGAAAATAAATTGCATTTTTAGATCGGTGTAACTTAATAAAGTTGCTGAAAACAAGAAAAAGCATGAAAAAAAACAAGTAATATTTAAAAATGTGACGAAAACTTATTTATGGGATATATCAGAACATACTGTAAATCAGCCTTACCGCAGCTCTTCTTGGTGTACTGGAGCTTGGCGTATTCAGACCCAGACTGACCAGACTGGATGGTCCACCGGTCCAGGTCCTGCTCTAGACCCACCAGCCCACTGTTTGCCAGTATTGGGTTGCTGCTGTATGGATCTGGACCTTGGTTGTAGGACATGCTGGAATAAGTGTCGTAGTACGCCAGCAGGTCATCCTCGGCCGTCGTGTTGATGGTGCTGTAGATGGGGCTGTCGTTGGACGCCGTGCTGCGTTTCTCCGTCTGGCTTGGGTAGTGGATTTTCCCGACAGCTGGACAGGAAAGGATTGGGCTAAATTGTCAACACAACCATATGCTTAATACTGACGTGTGTCTGTGAGCTCTTACAGTTGTAATATCTCTCCGAGTCCAGTTTCCCGGAGCAGCAGTTGACTAAATCTTTGCTGTTGTGAGGCAGATTTGGAGTGGGCCACGACTCGGCCAGCCAGGGGTAATTTCCCATGTTTGATCCCAACAAGGCAGGCCTTAGAAGAAAGGCGAGAGGGTTTTTCATCATCATTTCTATTAAATACAGAGCGCCACTCATTATATTATCAAACTTTTTGACATGACAGCTCCAATCTTTTGAAGTGAGGTTCTGTGGAAAAGTATGACATCCAAGCTTTTGTAGAACATCCTTAGTTCTTCACGCTGTCATTAAGTTCACATCATACTGTTATTTAAGCCCTGAGGGGACGTTGGTGAAAATTTTATAAAATAGGTTGTGTGAGCATGAGAAAACATCTGGTGCACACCAGGTAATTGTCTTGGTAATAAACCAAATGTCCAACAACTCAAGGCTGTGACAAAGTTTGCGGGATGTTGGAAATTTGTTGTCACTTATGTGGTTGTGTGACTTTTTTTTTCCTCACAAACTTTTTCTAATTAAAGAGAAACAGTAGCAAGAACTCCTGGGAAGTCCTTCCACTTAAACAATTGTCAGAAACAAACAGAAACCCCAACAATGTGTCCCTTCATTGCACAGTCACAGAGAGCTGCCTGTGTCTCCACGCTGTCTCCTCTGTGCACAAATGTTAAAATCTGAAAATGTTTCTAAGTTTTGCAGGAGCAGTTTAAAAGATGGCTGTATTTTCTAAAAGCCTCAGCCAGTTGCTCCTCAGAAGTTGAAGTGAAACGAGTGCAGCGTGATTCTACATAAACACGCCCACAAAGTTCTGACCAATCACACAACACTTGGGGCATGCCCTGCAGAGAAAAAAAAGTTCTGCCAGGAGCTTAGGCACAGAACAAGTTCTCGAAGCTCATGAGAGAACAAAATAATGCAATTTTCATCATTCCACTACACACACAAAATATTCCTAACGCACACCAAATATTTTCTCTTGCTCACAAAAAAAAGCTGCTTATTTGGTGTTTTATTTTATTTAAACCAACACCTTATTAGGGTCTCTGTTATGGGATACTGTAAATCTTGTGCCAGCAGCAATCGAATTTGAATTACTCAGATTGAATCTGAATGTGCATAATTTGAAATTGAATACATTGGTTTGAAAATGAATTTTCCTAAATTAAAACTGAATTTAATTATTTGAAACTGAATTTAAAGTTTTGTATCTGAATTAATTTGCTTTGAACCTGTACTTTTGTCTATTAAAAATTCAGTTTGACTACTTTCACTTTCAGTTCCATAATTCAGATTTTTGTGTCACATCCTGGTCCTTGAGAAAGCCAGCCAGAGTAATCAAACACAGATCCACAGATTTATATTTCACTTCGGTGACGCATTTTCAACATATAGGTACAATTAATCGCTGCAATAAAATAACTTTGTCTGTTTTTGTCACTTTTACAGTGGATTGCATCAACCCTTTTACATATAGAAGGGAAACTTCACCGAAGTGAAACGTAAATCTGTGGATCTGTGTTTGATTACTCTGGCTGGCTTTCTCAAGGACCAGGATGTGACACAAAAACTTGAATTTTGTAACTGAAATTGAATTATGGAACAGAAAGTGAAAGTAGTCAAACTGAATTTTTTAATAAATCAAAATACAGTTTCAAAGCAAATTAATTCAAATTCAAAACTTTAAATTCAGTTTCAGTTTAGTGAAATTTATTTTCAAATCATTGCATTCAATTTCAAATTATGCACATTCAGATTCAATCTGAGCAATTCAAAATCAAATCCTGCTGGCACAAGATTTATCCCATACCACCATATTTTTGGAGTCAGTCTGTGCTTTAAGCCCCGCCTTCTCTTCTGCACACAAAAACTATACTTGCCAGAGCACAATGTGTTAGAAAAATGATTGTTTGATCACAAAGAAACAAGGTAAGAACTACAGAAATTAATAAGAGACACTTGAAATAAATGTCCGAAGTGTGTATTTGATTTTTTTTAACAAGGTCTATATAGTTTTACAGGGAGGGGGTGGGACTTTAAGCTTCTACTGGAACAAGAGAGGGAAGATGGCCTTGCTCTGGCTTCAACTTCCAGATTATGTTCAGAGGTCTACATATAATTAGTCTTTGATGAAACAGATCCTCAGTCGAACCCTCATGTGTTCTGTGTTCCAGAAAGTAGTGAATGCATCTGTAACCCCTTCAAAAGAGTTGAACTACCCTTTTAATGCATACTTTACCCTCCATTGATGATTCCTGATCCGTCACTGTGAGCAAAGCCAACTGCAGAAAGACACAAAGAAATAAAACTTATTATACAAGAAAAAATAATCTTTTGCCATAACATTTTAAAAAGACTGAACATAGAATAAATGTGTTTATCGTTATGTGATCCACCAACCCGTTCATCCTAAAAGCAGATTTAAAATGTTTTCTGTGAAAAGACACTGTTGACCTACATACACTAAAAGGCACACAAGAGAAACATGTTGTAAAATATGCCTGCAGTGCATAAAAATGCAGATGTTATCCTTCTTCTGATGTATCCGTAGTCAATCCTGTTTAAACTGACGCAATCTAACCTAAAACCTGATATAAAACAATAATCACTGGAAAAGATGTAAAGAAAATCTATTTTTTGAAAAAGAAAAAAAAAAAGCCCCCCRGGCAGAAAACAAATGATATGTTTACGGTATGTGCTTATGTACCCAAGGCCATGATCTAAAACTGTATTGTTGTGGTTGCATTCTGCTTTGCCTTTAGTTTGTTTCCATTTCCTTTTTTTTTTCTTCTCACTTTTTAGCAAACTACCAAGTCGGGGTAAATACATTTTAATTAAGCGAGTTTGTGAGATTAAAGTGCAGCAGTTGCTCTGCGAAACACAAAGTGAAATTGAAAACATTCATCACTGCTGGAGATATCCCCAGAGGTCTATTAACAAGTTTGTCACCGTCGCTGCTTTCAAACTGAATCTAAAGTGTTGCTGAATCTTTAAATTTCTTCCTTTGTTTCCTCTCCAACGTTAGCCGTTTGCTGCCTTTTTTGAGCTGTGAAAAAAAAAAAAATCCACCGAAACCTGGTTTTGGGCGGACGAGCGCAAAGCTCTGTTTGCTGCTCACCTGCTGGCGTGTAGGCAAAGGAGGTGGTGTAGTGACCCAGCTGCTTCCTCCTGCGGTGCCGACAATACAGCCATCCACTGAAACCCATCAAAACCAGCCAGGCGGCCACACCTAGACCTGCGATGAAAGCCGGCTGCCGGATCACCCCGGCGATCTGCTCTGCTAGGCTGAGCTCGCTGCTTCTTTTCACCTCGACTGGTTGACCTGAAAATAAAATAGTAATAAAATCTTGATGGAATGCCTGTCACCCACCACCCTTCCATGGCAGAGTTTTATAGAGTGATCTGTTAGATCTCAAAGTTTGAAGTGACTTTCTACTCTATCACTCCAGGTTTTAGCCAAATAACAATGTAATAAGTTAGTTTTGTTTTTAATGTCAATTATCTGTGCTAACCATACATTTGGGTGATGGTCTCAGTTCCTGAGCTAAAGCTTTAAGCAACACTTTTGCACAGTGTGGAACATTAGAACTTTTTTGGGAATAAGGCCCACCTAATCTTAGCTAAGTTTCTCTAAAACTGGCTTAGTGGTAACCAAGTTTGTGTTTGATAAGGTCACCTAGCTGTGGTGGCCATCTTAAAGTGCCCGTGATATAATTTTTTAAAATAAATATAATGGCATTTTTTGAAAGATAACATCAATAACATATTGCAAAAAATTATTTCCCACTGCTGAAATGAACAGTTGAGATATTTGCTTGTGAAGTAACAGGAAGTGATGTCAAAGGAGAACGTCAGCATGGAACAGAGCATTGATAAAATGGCTAAGGACACGTAGAGAAGAATCTGATGTTTGTTTAGTTTATTTTGAGTCAGAGAGAGATGAAGAGTCAGAGTTCAAATAATATTGTTTCAATAAACAAAGACTAGAGAGTTCCCCTTTGATGTCACTTCCTGTTTCACTTTGGCTGAGCCAAGTTCCAAAGACAATTTGCCATTTATGTGAAAAAAATGGGTAAAATCACATTTTATGCAAGGTTTCTTATATAAAAATGTGTTTTCTTTGACTTTTTGTATTTGATGGATAGGCAGGTCACAGGCACTTTAAAAGTGCTTGGTTTTCAAAAAAGATCGAGTTAAAGATGTAGGATAGAAAATAATATCTTTTATTTGTGCCTCAGTGAGGAAAATCCAATGTATCATCAGCAAAGCAAAAGGCAAATATAAGGACACAAAGTAAACAATAATATTTTACAAATTAGGACAAAAACTGTGGAAAAAAAAGAAAAAGAAAATTACAGAGTCCTTGTTCGTACCTTCTACTGAACGCATGGCGCCCAGTTTTTAAGTGGAACTACTTTCTTTTGAGATCATCTGTGACCTCCAAAGCTCACGGGACAAGACCTCCCCCTCTTTAAAGATCCCGCTGATTTATGCAGAACAGAGCCTGGCCTGAATCAGTCTGTAATGCTAAGTTCCAGAGCTGCTATCAGAGACTTCAGGTCACTGTATGACCAGCAGTAAAGGTTCTGTGGTGGGTGGGGGCGGAACATGGGAACATTTTATCTCCACAGTAATGGCTGATGTGATCAGTGCTGGCTAAATGAGTCACAATGACAAGTTCCTCAAAAGCTTCTAAATGATGCAGTTTGTTGAAATTTAGCGATTTATCACCTGGCCTAGCAATAAGCACGTTTTAGTTAAGGAGTGACTGTTTTAAAACTCAAACTTTATTGGTTTACATGGATGTTCTTTGGGAATTCCACACCTAGATTAAATAAAAGGCTTTCCAAGCTACATAACGAGGTCAAACATTATATGAGGGATATCCAGGTGACACATTTAAAAACAAGAAAGGGTTATTTCAGAAGATATGCCTGTTAACTTTGATTTAAAGGTAGATTAGGAGGATTTTAGTTATGAAAACTGCTAGATGGTCTTTCTGGATTCATTTTACACAAATTTTAATTATGGCAAAAGATGTGCTGCAGCCTGATCTTATTCTGACTCATTTTACCAACACAGGTCACAAACATAATCAGTGTTTTTTGTTTTTTTTCATATTATTGTTTCTCATCCAGGGTTTGGCTTTGTTTGGCCTTCGGTTGATAGAAAACAAAGTGAACCAATCTACCGAGAACAATTTATTAAGCTAATTACCGCAAATTAAACTAATAGAGCTAAATAAAGTTCTGTTTAGATTGAACAAATTAATTAGTTTGTTGACGCTGAGATGAAACTGTGTTAAATGGGAGACGTGTTAACGGAGAATCAGACAGCCAAAGGTAAAATCTCAGTTTTGTTGGAATGATGTGGTAAGGAGTGAGAGAAAAAGTTTAATACATCAATGATAAATTTTATATATATTTTTTCTAAATAAAAACATTTTAGTTTTGTAACAATATATTAGGATTAATAATCCTGAAAGATTAGTTTTTTAAATGCCAGTCTACACCCCTCCACTAAAAATGTAATGTGTGCGTCTGTTAGCAAAATATCTCATCATGAAGCACAGGATTAATTGAACCATCCCATTCAAAACAAAATTATCTATTTTTCTCATCTTGTGTCCATGAAGCAACATTCAGAAATCCAACATTCCTCCCTGTCTGTGAACGCATCATAGAGTAGCTTATTTCAGCAGCTTACATTTCTTATTAAGCGTTTCTAGCTGCTTAAACACAACCTCACTTAGTGCATCTTTATTTCTTCCAACAAACTGTGTAAATCTGAAGACATTTATCAAGCTTGAAACCCATCGTAGTCACACACCCGCATCCCTGTTTCTGTTGATGGACAGACTGACAGAAAATACGACACATGAGAGACAGACAGACAGACAGCCAAACGTCAGACAGTCAGGTAGGGAGGAAAAATATGGTGACAGAGCAGAATGCAAACAGCAGATATCCAACTGAAACAAACACTTTACAGAAAAAGACAGTTGATGCAAAACACCAGGCAGGTTTCCTTCATTAGCTGTTAAATAGATGGAGATCAAGTTTGAAATAAGCTGTAAAGCAACTCGGCATCTTTGTGGTCAGAAGATCAGTGCAATTAGAATAAAAAGCACCATTTATACTAATCTGACCAAATACTGAATGATATAAATTAATATAAATGCAGTGTTGATGCTCCTAACTTCATTTTTCATAGAAACAAGTTCAAGCTTTTTTTCTCTGTCTACAAAGATAATGTGTGTTGTGGTTCAAAGCTACGTGTAAAAACTAAGAGTTCCCTCTTTTGCTCTTTAAAGTATAAATTATAAACAGGTGCTTAAATCATTGTTGAGTCACAATGAGTTGCAAAAAAAACGAATTATTTTCACGTAATTGGGATTTGCATAAAAAATTCTATAAAGGCATCATGTAAATAGAAAACAGTGTTTCCAGGTGCTATGGTGGTGAAGTGGTTGGAGCTACTTCTTCACAATGAAAAGGTCACAGGTTTGTCTTCCGACACCTTGATGTTTCCTTTGAAATGGACTATGTTTCTCAGCTAGCAGGGAAATCCCTTCATATAATGCAACCCCAAAGTTTTCAAAAAGAAGCCAGCTTGTCGGCAGGTGATAAATCAACAAATGTCAAGACACTACAGATCATTTTGAAGCTTTCAAAGTGGAGAATTTGAAAATTAAAACTCAAAATTAAAAAAAATTCCTGACTATGACTCATTTTGCCTACACCGGTCACATTATTTATTTATTTATTTATTTATTTATTTATTTATTTATTTATTTATTTATTTATTTATTTATTTTAGTTTAGTTGTTTTGGTACAAGTAATTTTGCTGTTTCTTTTACACATAAAAGTCCAAATTTTAGAGATACAGGTAAAAACTTTTTTTTAATCAACTGAACTGAGTTTTTCCAAAACGTGAACCTGCTTTAGTGTATGTACAGGGCTTTTATAAAGACTTATTACTGTTTTCAAACACATAAATAACCTGTGTTTACAGCATTGATGCATAATTTAATAATAAGTGTATTATAATTGTAAATTAGTAAAATTTTTCTAAGGGTGTATTCAGACCAGAAAAGTCCTTTGGTCCAATTGTTTGGTCCGGACCAAAAATGGATTTTTTTTTTTCATTTGGTGCGGTTTGCATTCACATTGTGCTTTTTTGCAAACGAACTATAACTTGTAAACAAAGCCACGAGGCTGACGATCATTGCTCCCATTGAACAAAAAAAGGATGGGGGCGGGACTGAGCCACAGATCCAGAAGAAAACAAGGAAGTCCTGCGTGCTGCGGTTCTGATGCACACATTTTTGCTGATAGTACAACTGCAATAGCATTTAAAATGTCAGAAGCAGCTAATTTAATGGTGGTTTCGTGATGATAATCTAATTTTGGAGCGGCGTGCACCCAAAGGAGACGAGGTGCTCTGCGTGTTCTGACCCACAACACGCTGGCAGTAGAGCTGCTAACAGG